TAATTGCTTTGCTTGTGATACATTTCACCCTCCTCAGTTCACACTTTATCTGAGAGAAAAGGGCTTCAACAAAATATGGTTAGTTTGTTGGAGGGTTGCATCAATGATCATTTAATTTTACAGATGGTGTTGAATAAAGTTAGGTGATTCTTTTTTATTTTATTTTTTATTTGAATTAGACACTGTTTTTTTATGGTGCAGTATACTAGAGCCTCAACAATTAAACAAAGATTACTCATCAAATTGATTTCTTTACAAATCTAATCACATGTTGTGTGAGCTAATACATTTTTTGCAGGGATGTCATATTTAAAATGTATTGTAGCCATGGAAGAGCTGGGAAAAACAGCCAAGGTTTGTGAAAAATTTTATTGCTTAAAAACAAGGACATCTTAGGAATACTAAACACACTTTAAGATAAGAACATGTTGAAAAGTATTAGGTATTTGTTGGCTTTTCAACCTATTTAATGTTAAAATTAATTTGTGCTCATTTTCTTCTTGCTTTCTGTCTACTAATTGTTTGACTTGCCATTTTTTTTACTCTTGTCTAATCTACTCATTCTTCTATGTGCTTTACTTTCTTTCTGTCAGCTGCCCCCCCTATTTTCACTCTCACGGCTCTCATCTAGTAAATGTGATCTGTAGCCCCTCATTGGTTTCTGTCAGGGAGACAGGGAGAGGGGAAAACTTTGAAAGTGTGTCAACGTTTGAATTGGACTGCAATTAACTCATTCCCTGCAGTCACCATGCGTGAATACCAATTGCAAACTAATTAAGCTTTGCACCCTAGCACTTACACGCATAGACAAAAACACCCACACCAACACACACTTGCAGACATGCAGATCACTGTTTTCCTAATCCATCCATATAGCTCCTTGTAGAAGGGTTAAGAGTCAGTCACTTTGATGATGAAAGTGATAGTGAGAGATTGCATTCATAAGGCCACTAACCAATGGTACAAGAATACTTGCACATACATACATGCACACTGCTTCCTATCAGACTCAATTTGAAATGCGAGCAGAAAGTCATTATTACTGTAAAGATATGTAAGGTATGTGTATAGTTGTATTGGAAGATTGTGTGATGGACTCTGTGTGTCTTCTCCAGCTGGGTTGATTCCTTTGTTTAGGTTAGTTTGGGGGTAATTAACAGTAGGAGTGGTGTCACGGCTTATTAGTGTTCCCCTAGATACATATAGCTGGGCCCATTACTTTTCCTTATTAGCCTGTTGAGCTAGCCTAATGGGATTAGCAGCGCAGGGGGGTAATTTAGCATGACACAGGGAAGTGATATTCTCATAAATAAGTGCATGTGTGAGCTGCCACACACAGGCATATTTTATGTAAAAGCAAAAGGATGCAAAAATTATCTTAATTTGGTTGGTGATAAACCAAAAAGGTATACTCTAAAATGATATAAGAGAAAGTCCTGAAACAGGCATAAATAATATAGTGCTTTGGAGGTCCTTTGTTTGGGCTGGTTCATTAAAAGCAACATATACACCTGAATGAAAGTGGAAAAAGGAGCTGAAATTTAAAAAAAATATATATATATTTTGAAACCAGACAAAACTCACAAGGATGTTACAAAACATGCCTTTCTCAAATTGCTTTTACATGTTTGGACCATACAGTAGCATAACCTGCAATTCTTGTCTACTTTTGGCTTTAGGTTTACACAACGATATTTACCGGTATTGTTGTCATTTTGGCCATTTTTATTCATGAAAAATTTTATTCACATAAAAAACCTTGTATTTTGCCATCAATTTGAGGTTCAGCAGATTTTTCCCTCAGTGAACTTTGCAAAAAATCTTATGGGACCAAACTTCTAAGCTAAACGACATTCTTGGTTTACATACTCTTATTTACATTTTTTAGGTTTGTGTGAAATGTGGCTTCATAGTAGGATCACCCACAGCTTAATTAATACACCAGGTTATACATTTTACAGAAATGATAAGCGTGTAAATGAGGAGTAGCAATGAAAGGTAAATAGACTTCTGTGTGGTCTCGTTAAGTAGTGTGACAGCATCTAGGGTGTCAGAGGTTGATGTACTTTGGCATTAATACATTCATAGGTCTCATCAATAACTCTTCATCAATGTGTCATGTCTGGTTGCATTTGTGTGGGGGTTTATTTATTTATTTATTTTTTTTATACAATTGCTTCTCACCTACTTGCTACTAAAAGCTGATCAGAATATGATGTCATACATAGTCAACAGAAAGCCATGTAAAATGTTGCTAGAGAAGATTTTCAGTCTTTCAGGATATAGTTACTTTAAAAACCATGAAAAATGCCTAACTGGGTTTTTTTTGTCATAGTTTTAGTAAATGTTTGACCCACATGCTGATAAAACTCAGTAGACACATGCAAGTTTAAAGATTTTATTTTACAAGATGTCAGTAATGTAAACGAGGGTGGATTAAGTCAGTAGAAAAAGATTGAGTTTCACCAAGGTGGCCTCAGTCTGGGTCTGGGATATTGTTGCTTTCAGGATAATCCAGGTGGTTGGAGGTAAAAAGGCCAGGAAGCAAGGTGGGATGGTGGACAGAGCTTGACCACTGAAAATGGAATGAGGAAGGGAGGAGTTGGAGCTGTCAACAGGACACTTGAGAT